CACAAGTGTTCATGAATATGAGCCTTACCACTTGCTTCTTCTTGTTTGTTTCTTTATGTGTTTAAACCCTCGGTGTGTCCTTCTCAAGAGCAAGCCTGCTCTCTTCAATATTTTCCTTATGTTCCTCAATATTTGTCATATGCACCTCATTGCTCGCCTTGACTCTCAACCTCTCCCCCTCAATCTCTTTGAGCTCATTCCACCTTGATGCCTTGTCGATCTATCATGTCTACCACCAACTACTTTCTTGTGGAGATCATCATCAAAATGTCTTTCGTGTACATCACACTTTGCTCCTCTCCATTGCCTCTCATTTTCCTTGTTGTGTCCATGAATATATCAAAAAACTACTATAGTTTCACTTTTTACAACAATAACACATGGATACATTTGTTATTCATCATGATACTGCTCAGGAAACAAACTTCCATGCAATTGTCTAGTGTCCAAAATCCAAAGCCCTTCAAGCTAGCCTTAGATCACACTAGGACTTACAAAGTGAAGATCAATTCAGATCCCGTTGAGTTTTACAAAGTCTTTTGGGATTCAATTTGTTGTTATCTACTTCAGCTATTTAGTGACTTATTTGATGGCAAAGAGGACCTCTCTAGGCTAAACTATGTTGTAGTTACTTTGATTGCCAAAGGCCAAGGGGTGATAAGATTCAAATATATAGACCTATTTGCATGCTTAATGTCCATTGTAAGATTTTTATGAAGGTTTTGAACACTAGAGCTATGCTAATTGTTGACAAGCTAGTGTCTAAGATCCAAGCAACTTTTATTAAAGGTCGCTATTTACTGGATAATGTAGTAATGTTGCATGAGACCATACACTATCTTCATAAGAGCAAGCTCTCAGGTGTGCTTTTCAAAGTCGATTTTGAGAAAGCTTACGATAAAATTAACTTGGAATTTATGATTTCTATGTTAGAGATGAAAGGTATGTTGATGGTAGAGTGGCTATTGCTTTGAAGATATGTTGGGTAATTATTTTACTACCAGAAAAGGTCTTAGGAAGGGCTCATAAGCAAGGTGAAGGTGACTTGGAAGGAGCTAGGAATCTTGACATCATTTGTTGTGTTTTTTAGCACTTGACTAGTCTTAATTTTTAAGTGAAGTTTATTGCTTTTGTGAGGCGGAAATAAAACAAAAGAATCATGCTCAGATCTTTACTTGCGCAATTGGAAACTTTCCTTTACTTACCTGCTAGGTATGCACCTGCACTACAAAAAACTTAGTAGTAGTGATTGAAAACCTGCCGAGGAGAAATGTGAGAAGAAAGCAGCTACCTGGTAGGAGAGCTTGCTTCCTATGGGAGAGAAGCTCATGTCATGTGATTGCCTCCTTTGAGAGGACGAGAAGTTTCGAGGCCAACGGAGCAACAGGACCAACACTTCCTGCACAAACCGAACACGTTCCTTCTCGATAGCCAGGGACTAGCTCAGAGACGATGCGGTTTACGAGCGGCCTCAGAGGAGGCTTATTTAAAACGCGCCCAATCTACCACACCTTACAAGGGCCATGTGATGGCACTGTGCCAGCTCTCGAGGAATTCCAGCATCGTACGATTTTCTGAGGATTTCAACGGTTGCATCACGCATGCCATCGAGGTACTTTCGGTAACCCGGTGGCAGGGCATGCCCCTCCCTCGTCTATGCAGGACCTAGGCATGCTGCAAGGACATCACAAAGGATTTCACATGCCGCTACCAGGCATGATTTCATGTGCCGCCTTGCTGATCTGCAATTTCCGGCGATGAAACCCTAGTAGAGCAATAAATGACTCAAAAATAATAATAGTTGAATTAATAAAAAGCGACGACATCCACCATTAAGAAGATGGCATATCACTTAGAATCTTCTCTGCCCGAAACAGGTAAACATTCAAAGTGATGGGCCATCTCCTTAACAAGAGTGTAATGAAGACCGAAACTTACTACATCTGAACTATCCCACTATTTAAACATGTTCTATTGCTTGTCTCTGGGCGAGGTGGGACTAAAATTTGATGGGAGCCTTATCTTTACCGAGAGCTATTCTCGGCAACTGTTGTTGTTTCGAGCGCCAGTCTCGATACAGGTACGGTTGGATCATAAAGTTAATACATATTCTTAATTATGAACAGCAAAGTTTAATTCAATTGTTGGACTATCGAACTATTTAAACGGGTAGGCGACGTGGAACCAAATAGGCAACTGTTATTGTTTCGAGAGCTGCTTTAGTAAAGAAGTCAAACCGTGGTCATGCCGTTAACCGCCGCCGGATGTGCCACGTGGCAAAATGTTGCCGTGCGGCACTGCGTGTCTCTCGGCAAATAGCGCCTTCGCCAAGTGTTGCCTTTTTGCCGAGGTCTACTCTCGACGATATCCTGTGTTTGTCAAGATGCTTCTTTTGCTGAGAGGCCCTCTCGACGTCTCTTCTTGGCCGAGTGCCCGTGTTTTGGATCTTAGCAAAGAGTCTGGCACCCGGTGTATATGAAAATTCCAGTAGTGATGATCTATATTTAGCAAAATAGTATCATTGGAATCTTCTTTCAAATAGCAAATAGAATACGAGTCAAAATGTATTTTATGTGACATGTAGTAAATTATATTTTGCTAGTCAAATCTATAGTCAAAATTTGATCCCAAATACAAGAGGGCCTAATAAACCCCGACAAAGAGTACTTTAGCAATGTCACAATCAAAGAATATGCCAGTGCAGAAAATACAAGCCATGTCACTGATGAGCTGCCTCTTGCCGAGGCTATCTCATAAGAAGTTAATTATTGCACACATCTCAATAAGAAGCAAGAAATTTATCTAAAAGTTTTGTTTAAGATGTGGGTCCACAAAGCTAACCCATTCCCTCAGAAAAACAAAGGTAGTCCAAAAACATTACCGTATGCCCACGGAAAAAAACATTACCGTTGGTTGTTGAAAAATATGGAAGAAAACAGAAGAAAACTGAAAGGCCAAATAATTACGCCCTGATAGAAAAAAAAGGCGAGCAAATTAAATCTCCATGATTAGAGAGGCCTGAAAGCGACGTGATTCTTCCCCACACGCCCGAAAGGAACTGCTAGCGGCTGTGGCTGCGATTATGCTTACCTTAGTTGTTTGCTTCCGGGGCAACAGCTCATCGAGAGCGAGCGTCATGGCGTCCCTCACGCTTCCCGCCCGCGCGCTTCTTCGCCCGGCGGCCCCCTTATATAAACCGAGTTCCGCCGCGTGCATTAATTTATCCGACGGCGAACTCCATGCACGCGCACGCTCCCACTCTCACCTACGCACTCATCGACTGATACTCCATACGCCATAGACTAGAAGTGCAGTGTAGTGCTGCCATTGCCCTAGCTGATCACTCAATGTCTGGGCATGGGTCGTCGGGCAAGCACCCCTTCTACCGCGGCATCCGGAGCCGGTGCGGGAAGTGGGTCTCGGAGATCCGGGAGCCGCGGAAGGCCCGCCGCATCTGGCTCGGTACCTTCCCGACGGCCGAGATGGCCGCCGTGGCCTACGACGTGGCCGCCCAGGCGCTGCGCGGGCCCGACGCGGCGCTCAACTTCCCCGCCTTGGCCGCCACGCGCCGCGCCCCGGCGTCCGCCTCCGCGGACGACATCCGCGCGGCGGCGGCCGCCGCAGCCGTCTCCGTCCAGCACGATCGCGCCGGCGGCGGCATTGCCCCCGCGGCTGCTGGATCCGCACTGCAGCTGCAGCAGCAGCTGAGCGGGGGCAGTGCCGCCGCTGCCTCGGCGAGCGGCGCGGCCCAGCAGGATCAAGCCGGCATTGGGTTCAACCAGTTCTTCCTGGACGAGGAGGCGCTCTTCGAGACGCCGCAGTTCCTGCGCAGCATGGCCGCCGGGATGATGATGAGCCCCCCAAGGCTCAGCCCCGACTCCTCCGACGAATCGCCGGACCCTTCCGAGGCCGGGGAGAGCCTCTGGAGCTACCGCGACCCGTAGCCATAGCTCGATCGATCGATCGACCATGGCCTACATGCCATGGCGTCGCGACTTGCTACTAGTACCACTACTATTGCAGCTACAGCACCACTACTGAACTTGGAGCCTGAAATAACGAGGATAGGTAAGGAGGCGCGAACCGGTGTTGGAGATCCCATTTTTCTCTCCGGTAACGCATGCAGATGTGGGTTGGGTTTATCGTCCGCCTGATCTCCTTCTACCTCTTCTCTCCTTCTTCTCCCTATCTATCTAGACTATTTTTCCCCTTGCTGTTTGAAGTGTTTTGGACCTTCTGGTTTGATGAAAGCCAGAGGGGGAGAAGGTCTCCCGTTTCACCAGCTCTGGCTCTGTTTGAAGCATCCGAGCTTGGCAGTATATAAAGCTGCAGCAGCGAGATACTTCGCTAAAATGTCGAGCGGGTCACGAGGAGGCCTGTACGCACTGTTTATGTGGATGTACCACGTAAGTACTTAGTCGTGGAATCAAGTTTGTACTGTAACTATTCTGTGGGTGCGGATTGGCTATAAGATGTGCGCACAGCACATCGCTAGCTCCACCTTTCCCCCTTTTTGAAACCCTTGTTGCTGATTTCCAGTTTGTGGTCAAGTGTGTGCCGGTGTGTGAGCCTTTTGACTCGGGGTAGTTGGCCGTTGAAAAGGATCAAAAGAGCCAACCACGGTTTGGTACATGTGGCCTTTTGGTGTTTTCGCGATCAGCTTGTCTCCTGCATGTAATTTAGCTTGCCGGTTGCTATATATAAAAACGTGTTGCTTGTCTCCTGCCTGTAAATGAGTTGGAGAATTCTTACTACAAGCTCTTTGGGACATAAAATGCTCCATCTCAAGTCTCTAAAACATCTTATATTTGTTTACAGAGGGAGTACGTCTTAGCGGAAACGGTACCTTTGTTAAGGCTATCATTAAGGTGGTAAAAGGCGTAACAAGAGACGATCATAAACTTGTACTGGTAGGTAATATTTCAAAACCCGGCTATCTATAAGATTTTCCTACAAAATAAAATTATCTTCAAGATTCAAGAATTTCATGGAGAGCAAGCTAAAAAATAGGCTTTCTTGGAGACAAAACCGCTGACCCACAACTATGACAACATCACCACTTTGGCAACTATCCTCCTGTGTGTATAACAGGAAAATCAGTTGATTTTACTATAGTTTGCCTAAGAAGTGGGACCAAAGATGTACTACTAAACAAACTTTATATTCAGTTTCAGTTGACATATTACATAGAAAAACTGACTAGTAAAAATATCAAAAAGAAGTGAATAGTAGCATTTTTAGGGAACAGTTCTTTGGCTACTATTCATGACAAAACCACCTTCTTTTATTTATAAGCACGTGGATGGAAATTTCATTGGCTACCTTTTTTCTATTTGATGCTCATTATTGGTTGCTTGAAACGTTTTCAAGTCACAGGCATATAAAATTACACATGTTACCACAACTTTTAGTTTGTGGGTATGGGATTGTGGAAAAATTATTACTCTACATAATCTTTCAGGTTGTGAGTTACATAGAAACTGAGGTGGTGAGGAGGAGGATTGGAAGTCAATTCAAATGCTTACAGAAATGAGTGAAATTTCATCAGAAGCAGAAGAAGAAGAAGAAGAAGAAGAAGTGATGAACATTCAATCAATCACATACGGGCTAGCAAACACCGAGCTGCCCACCTCCGCGAGCAACACGTGTCCACCTCCACCTGAGGCAAACATGAGTGGAACACTAACGGGACGACAGACCAAGGCCTCCGGCGCGCCCCACCTCTACGCTGCGCGCGGCCCGGCGGCAGCATGGGTTCTTCGGCAGGTACGGGCGCTCGCCGGTGGTCCAAGCTCTCTCTCATCTGAGGAGCCTCTGCCTCTGCGCGCACGCTGCCGAAAACGAGCAAAAGCGGGGTATCATCAGTTGGCGACGCGGCAGCTCAGGCTGGGGCCCGGCCCGACTCCGGCCAGATCGACAAAGCCCAACCGGCGGGGCTCCTCGGCTCGTACGGACCGCCTGGCGCGTCGGTTTCGATCGAACAGGGACGCGAGCGCGCCACCGCACGGCGGCGCTGCTGGTTGGACGCGGAGCGGAGCGGAGCCCGTCCAAATCATGGAGTCACGGGCGCATCTGGACCGGCCGTACGATTCGCGTGCCCCCACCCTGCATTTGCCATTGCCTTTGCTGAGCTGCGAATCTGATTTTTTTTTACCAATCTGGGATCCTTCGTCTCCTTCCCAGCACCGCGAGACTAGTCGTTGCCTGCCCACGCTGGCCCGAGGCAGCCGTCATCCGGCGAAAATCTACGGTTTTCCACTTTCTTTTTACGTGAAAAAAGAGAGAAATAACTAAGTGAACGTTAAGAACTGTTTGGTTGAAGCGCCAGGATCACAAGGTGTGCAGAAGGTGAAGAACAAGGATATTTTTCTTTACACTTTAACCATATGTAATTTGTACTCCCTCCATATGACAGAGTATAATACAAGACCAGTGACCCCTGCGGCAAAACAAGGGAAACAACAAAAATGTCCGAACATAAAGACAAGTTCTACAACAAATTAGTGCAACGAGAAGCGACCCTAGCTTGTAACTTCCCACTGCCTAGCGTCTCCTTTAATTAGTTTGATGATTCCTTGAAGTGGCTTGAAGGTATTATCAAACTTCCCACTGACTAGCTTCTGGCCAGGCCAGAGATTTAGTAATAATGACCATCTGGCGTATTTGGCAGATCCGAAATGATATTACGCACGGGAAGAATGAGACCCCGGTAGAGCTAACTATGGATTATCTTGATAGTTTTTATAAGTCGCTAAATCTGGTTGGGAACTATAGCATGGAGGAAATCATCAAAGGGAAGATGCCGATGTATGATGATGACCGGACAACATGTGTTACAACACGGTCCCCTATGCCCTGGCCTCCTCCGCCTGTGGGATGGGTGGCGCTGTCGGTCGACGGATCGTTTTCAAGTCAGGGTGGTCGCGCCGCGGCTGGCATGGTATTGCGCAGGGAGAACGGTTCGTTGATATCTGCGGCATACAGATATATCTTCCACTGTAATGATGCCTTGGAAACGAAAATTCATGCACTTATGCAAGGCATTGCACTCGTCATTCAACACTCGAATAGGCCTGTGATTGTACAATCAGATTCTTCAAATGCTTTGGCCATCCTCTCGGGCGATACTCTTTCTAGGTCGTCCTATGGCCATCTCGCTTATGAGATTAAGGATCATATGGTAGTTAGAGAGTTTGTTCCTCTAAAAATTAGCAGAGATCAAAATAGGGTAGCATGTCAATTGGCAAACTATAGTCGTATCGAAGCTTGTACTGCGGTATGGTTGAACTCATGCCCGCCGTGTTGTGAGGAGCAGTTGTCTCGTGATTGTAACCCTATAATAATGGAATAAAACTTCCTTTAACCCCGCAAAAAAACACCCTTGCATTTCTCTTGCGCCAAATGCTCCAAATGATGGGAGGAACCAATGTATTCACAGCGTTCCTCCTAGAGCATTATATATTCGACCTAGCCTCCTTTCACTGGTCACTGAGAGACGACCCCTTATGATGAGCGGCCTCACTCAGCCCTGCTCAATGGAGCACCGAGTTCCAAAGAGTTGAAACAACGCTGCAGTCCATAAAGATTTGGTGTGCCGATTCTTGGGTCAAGTTACAAAAACTACAAATAGTGTTATGTGGAAGACCACACTTGGTAAGTCTATCCGCCGTGCACATCCTTCCTCTAACGACCAACCAAAGAAAAAATTGCGCTTCGTAGGAGCCAGTATCTCCAGATGGTTCAGGTCGTGCTGCAGATTGTCATGGCGATTTTTCAAAACACATTGCATGTCTTTTCCATTAAGAAGATGAGATTTCGACAATAGTTCATTACAAGGGTCATAGGCCACCTTTCATACGCAATGCCCGAGGCGCCGCTTAGTGAATTTGAAACGAGTGCCCACCATCTACCCTAGCAGCATTCCACAAGCGAAGCTCTACTCGGATTAAGGAAACGAAGTCGACAGCTAAGGTAGCGACGCTCCAACCAGATGTATCGCAGCGTGGCGGGAATGATGGTATTCATCGTCTTCCGATGGCGCCGCAGCCGATAGATTGGGCCACCGCACCGTAAGGACCAACGTTCCATCCAATGTGAATCTATGAAGTCTCAGCGACAACAGCATATGGTACCACACCTCGCGCTTAAAGGGGCAGCCGAGGAACAAATGTGTGGTGTTCTCGCCGACCTAGCTGCAGAGCTATAGCATTGTCGAGTATGTGGTAGGTTCCGGCGCACCAGCCTATCCGCCGTCCATAGTCTTGCACGCACCGCCAACCAGGTGAAGATTTTTATCTCAAGGGGAGCCAATGACCTCCAAATATTAACGGTGCATGGGGTGAACTCGCGACCAAGGAAGAACGCGCGCGTAGGTGTCCTGTGAAAAGTACTTGCCTGCCGCTCCAAGCCGCCAGAAGAAGGAATCGGGCACATTGGAAAGAGAGACATGACGCAGCTCATCCCAAATCGTGAGGAACTCCGTGATGGCCAGAACCGATGGGGTTCGATAGATTCCATCCACCCATGTGTGTCCCGGCAAGGCGTCGACCACCAACAAGTGCTTGCTAGCAGGGTAGATGAAAGTGAGAAGATTAGGCGCCCTTTGGGCGATGTTGCGTCCACCAAGCCATGTGTCAAGCAAGAAATTGGTCCTGAGGACGTCTCCAATATGGCAATGAAGGGCCGCGAGACCAAGTCCGTCGCTCTTGGTTGTGGGAGCCACCTTCAGTCCCTGTCATGGCTTGTCTAGCACTATCTTCTCGAGCCATAGCCAGCGAAGGCGAAGGGCCTAGTTCAATAGGGGGAGCTTTAGGACGCCCAATCAACCATATGGTTTGGGGGTGCAGACAATGTTCCACACAACTAGACAACATCCGCCCTTGGCCTTGTCAACCCCTTTCTAGAAGAAACACCTCCTTAACTTGTCAATGCATTTGAAGAACCA